AGGGTCCGACAGCCCCAGCTCCCAGCCCTCCGCACTAATGAGAGGTCAGCGTTTTCCAGCCGTGCTCCCCTGCGAGCTGGGACAGTGGAATGTCGCTGGCTTTGGCCGGGACTTCTGACCCCAGGCCCCCAGTAAACATCCTGCCTGAGACCGAAACAGCTCCCTCCTCCCATCTGGTGGGAACATCACAATGGCGGGTGGGGGTGGCGGGGAGGACTGGGCTGTGTCATGCTCTCCATCTGTTCTCTTCCATCTCGCCACTGGCCTTATGCTGCTCATTCAGAAGTTACTGGGCCACATCCTTCTCCCAGCCACACTGGTGCTCACCAGTGACTCTGCTCCTTCTACTGATGCCAATGGTCTGGGGACTTTGTGGCTGGGACATTTGTGTCTGGCACCAGGCGAGAATCTAGAACGAGGCTGAGGCCTGCAGCATGGACGACTGGTGCTTCCTGAGTCAGAGGGGGCACCCACAGAAGCCAGCGGTGGCGTTGGCAGTGGGGATGGAGCTGGCGAGCACCTGCAGATGCTGCTGGCAGCGTCAGCAGTGGGGACAGCCTTGTCAGGGGCAGTTATTAATGCGTCTTCTTTAATGACTGCATCATCATTTTGTCCTAACATTTTCTAATGCCATCATACACATATGCATGTTTATACACATATATCCCCCCCCCCATGCCTCCCCTACCAGTCACCTATGGCCTGCAGGTTACTCTAAGCTGGAATCGACACCTGGCTGTGCTGAGTGGCCTTGAACAAACTACTTTGTGCCTCAGTTTCCCTTTCTATAAATTAGGAGGAATGACACCAACCTCTTCCGCGCCGTGCTCCAACTCCTCTGGATGAACATGTGAGGTGGAAGTCCCAGCTCCTGGTGATGCAGGACCTCTGCTTGGCTTCTTTCCATTACTGCAATTTGCTTATCTTAGCTGGGCTTCCCAACACAGTCACATGCTCCAGGAGAAAGGAACCTGTTTTGAATGTTAGCTGGGGTGTGGACGTGTTGTTCCTTGGGGAACATGTGCTGATGGTTCATTCAGCCCTGTCTGTTTATAGAACTGCTTCTTTCACAGGGTATCTTTCTGGGAGACAGCCAGGGGCTACCCTCACCCTGCTCACACTTCAGGCCTATTTATGAAGTCACTGCAGCTGATGAAGGAGAGACCAGGTCCCTAATGTCCCAGGGAAGTGCTCTGCTGCTGAGCTAGCACATGGGGTCACACTAGTGTGTTGCAGTCCGTCTCCTCACCAGACATTGCTTTCAACCTCTCCCTTTGCCCCAATGCAGAACTCGGGTGTACTGTTGCTTTGGGCACAACAGAAACAGGGAAGTCACTGGAAGTTCCCCACATCCAGCCTGTCCCTATTGGGGACAAGGCATGTGAGCTACAGGATGCTAGACGGGATTCCTGGCTGTGAATACTCTGGCATGTGCCGGAGTGGGGGAGGCAGGACTAGGTCACTACAGTGAGATATATGGAAGGTGAGTGGGGGCAGTCGGGCTGGAGTCCTTTGTGGAAAGCTGTAGGAACTTCCTCCCTTCACACACACATTCAAAATGGGCAGGCAGGACAGAGCCTGAATGCCCAGCAGAGCTTTTCTACAGTTAACATCATCATCGCCTGAGCGGAGTCTCAGGAAAGACCATGAGGTGGTTGGTTAAACCCCTTGACCACATTGTGTTATCCCCTACCGCAGTGCCCGGCCCACAAAGAATGTGGGCTTATTGCAGCTCCTGCTCCACTGACTGCCCTCACTGACAGCTGGAGCCTCTCCCTCCACCAAAGGCAAAACAAGAGTTGAGGGCTGCACGTTGGGCAAATCCAGACATAAAGGGCAAAGTTTAACAGTGAGAGAATTAACCATTTCTTTGAGAGAAAGGTCTGAGGTGCCTCCCACACCCTGTGTTAGAGGCTGGATTTCAGACTCCCCTATCAGCCAGACCTGGCTCTAGCACTTTCTGTTGTGGCAGCGATACATCCAGGTCTAGTGTGGCCAGGTCTTCTCATGCCTGGTAATGGGCACATTAGTGCCTAATAAAGGGGCCAGGAATCTGCTGGGAGCCAGGTACCTAAAAATTAGGTGTGGCAATGTCTATTATTTTGTACCTCTATGTCCTTTTTCTTGGATCAATCCCCTCGTAGGCTATGATCTACTCACCTCCTTACCCTTATATTTGTTAACCGAAACAACTGACCTCCCAGTGTCTCGTGCTATAAGGAGTCTTCTGACTAGTCCCAGGGCTCTTCTCTGAGCTCTTCCCAATATATTAACAGCATCCTTGTATTGCGGACACCAGCACTGGGAACAGTGGCAGTCATTGCCGTGCCGAGGACAACAATACTACTACATCCTTACTCCTGCATGAGCTCCCTCCTTCACCTCATGGATCACTTTAGCCTGTGTGAGCTCAGCATTACCCTGGGAGCTCATGTCCAACTACTATCCACCCTGGCTCTTTCTCATCCTGCTAACACGGCTTGCGCCTTTTGTTCCTACATCTATATTTTTACATTTAGCCACATATAAAGACTAATTGCTTGGTTGTACCCAGCCTACTGAGTGACCCAGATTGCTTTGTAGAAAGGACCCATCATTTCCATTCCTTACTGCTCCCCCTGCCCTGTGTCGCTCAAAGCTTTAACAGTCACCAGTAACATACTCTAAGAACTGGACCCACAACAGTGGCAGCGCAACCCTGAGCATCTGGTGTGGCAGGGGACATTTAGGCACTCGGTAGGTGGAAAACCCAGCCCCTGGTTCCCAGGCTGCCTAAAAGTGGGATCCACAGAAGTCTCATTACCCAGCAAGTCCTCTACCCTGGAAAGAGGTGCTGGGGTTTGGCAGACAAAGAGTTAAAGCCCCTGTAAGGGATGCCAGTTTGCCAGCTTCATCTCCACTCCCTTTCCTCACTCCCCTCCCTTTAACATCAAATGCATAAAGAACCAAGCCGGTGACTTTGCTGTAACCTCAAAGTGATGGGATGGGAAATGCCCCAGCAGGCTCCACACAAACACGCCTATAAGGCCAGACGGAGTGGGGATCCTGCACTGGCAGCTGCGGACCTAACCCGGGAATGCTGCAAGGAGGTGAGTACTAGCAGCCCAGTGTCAGCTGGCACGTGGCACTGGGCAGCTCTGGGGGGCAGGGTGGGTGTGGACTGCTCCCCACCAGAGCAGAGCCCTGCTACTGTCTAGCGCACTTCAGGGCACTCTTGCAATCCAGTTCACCAGTCACCTAGAAAGGGATGTAGGATCAGGGTCTCAGCTCAAGGCCTTGCAAGCATTAGAGGTTTGCCTGTGGGTTTGTCACCAGAGAAGTTTGGAAGGACGTGGGTTTGGAGGGAACAGCCTCCTGGAATCCTTGCCCTGGTCATATGGCAAGCATTGCCCCCATGGCTTGTCATGGCTGCAGGGCATTAGCAATGGACATCCTCCTGCAGTCATGGCCTGGCAACAATCAGGGGAGGCCAGCTTGTTCCACCCAGACAAAGGCAGCATTCTCTGGGGAGCAGAAGCAGTAATGGGAAAGCAGGACCCCTGGGCAGAGGTTTAGCTAGCAATTTGTGTGCCCTCGATAGAGATGTGTGTGTGTGGGTGAGACACAGGGGTTGTGCCAAGAGCCAGAGAGCTGGAAGACGGGAGTGAGGGGGAGGTGGAAGGGAAGGAGGGCCAAACTTTGGAGGGCCTTACCTGATGCCAGCCATGGCTTCTGGGCTGGCTCCCTGTACCCTGCCTGGCTATGGCTGCCATTGTGTGCTCCCCAGGAGGACACCATTTTGGCACTCTTCCATCAAAATTGGTACCTTGGGCCCATGCCCTACTCTCCCAGCCCTCCTTATACTACCGTGTTTGGGTTCGATATCCAGGCCTCAGAGGTTGTACTATCGGTGGGACTAGAACCAGGAGTCCTGACTCCTACTCCCTACTTGAGCCTTAAGACCATTTTACCCCAGTGGCACAGAGAACAAATGTGGACCCTCACGGTGTCATTTCCCCCAGTTGCTTTGCTTATGGCTATGGTATAGCCCCAGACTGTAGCAAATCAGTAACACTTTACCTTCTTCACCTCAGGAACCTTGATGGAGTTTTATATCAGCTATTTCCCTTCAAAAAATCATAGGAAAGTAGGGTTGGAAGGGACCTCTGGAGATGGTCATGAAATTTGGGTATCATGAACTTTGGCATCATACAGGGCCCTTGATATATTCTAGCCTTAGAATAGCTAGTGCCAATGCCCACATGCTTGCACCGCAGATGCAGCAGTTCAGGCCAGCTGAGGTTTGGCTAGCAGAATGGGTGAGAGCACAATGACTAGGTCCAGGCAAGTCAGAGAGGCTGGAGCCTAGCTGGCATCTCAAAAACATGATGCAGCCCCAAGATGAGGGTACAACTGGGAGTGGGGCACAGAAGAGAAAGGAGTGGGACATCTGGGAACCTGCCCTCCTCTCCCTCCATAGTTAATAGGAAGAATAGCCCAGCAGTTGGCACAGGGACCTGGGAATTCACAAGCAGTAGCAGGGCTGGGCAGCCTTTTTTTGCAGGAGTCAGCACTCCTGATGGTCTGGTTTTCCCACATCTACACTGGGGAGAGAAGGAGCAGACAAGGGTTTGGCTGGTTCATGTTGTAGAGGACTTTGAGCCTTGCAACGGGTGCTGCACATGCTGAAGGCACAAAGGTGCAGGAGCTGTCACTTGAAGACAAGGCTTAGGCACCTAGGGCATGCTGGGGGCATGTGGTGTGCAGCTCTCCAGCTAGGATGTATATAGGGTAGAGGGGTGGCGGGTATTGTTGGGTTCATGGGGTCTTGGCTGTCACCATCTGTGTGCAGGGAAAGGATGTCAACAAGCAAAAGCCAGTGGGCCCCTGAGCACGAAGACACTGCTTACACCAAGCTCCTACAGAAGGCACGTGAATCCCCCTTTGTGCCTGTTGGTGAGTAGGAGCAAGGGAACCCCAACAGGAGCTGCTCCACCTGCCCCAGGTGTGGGTGGGTGCTCCCAGTTGGGTCAGAGCTCAGTGAAGACAGAAGTGGAGGCAGGACTGGAAGAGCTACATGCCAGGAGGTCGCTTTCACAGCACCTGCCCTGCACTGTGCTTTCCCCTGTATACACTCCCTTCAGCTTCAAGTGACAACATGCATTGAGAGACCTTCCTCCCCTACCCAGCCCAGCCAGGCACGTCCTACAGCACTCAAAGGAGCTGCAATGGGCACAACCTCAGGGACTGGGGAGGGGAAAAAGTTAGCTCCAGAGCACCATCCAACTCCTATCAGGTCCATGTGCTGGCCAGCTCCCACAAGTTTGGTCACACTAAGGAAGGAGGCTGCCATAGGCAGCACAGTAGAGGCACATAACCCAAATGCTAGGACAGCCTTCATCCCATCAAGACCCAATCTTCCTGCCTGCCCCAGCAGCTGTCTTGGTTAATCTAGGTGCTCTGTGTTCTTTAACAGGTCTAGGAAGCTTTGTCACGGTGGTAGCTTATGGACTCTACCTGCTGAAGGGTAGGGGAAAGATGAAGATGTCTTTGCACCTGATCCACACTCGGATGGCTGCCCAGGCCTGTGTGGTTGGGGCCATCACTCTGGGTGAGTGATGTCTGAACAAAACCTTTGAATGGGTGATGGGAAGCCAGGGAGTTGGGGGGGGGGGGTCCTTAAACACTATGCAGTCACCTGGTATTATTTGAATTTGGCTCTAAATAGAAGAAAATACTTTTTTTGCACTGTAGAATAGGGCCAGAGTGCTCTTGCTCTACCCAGGGGTAGGAGGGGATAATTTTCGTCACTACCTCTAGGCTGCTGCTGAATTTAACAAAGCACACGTAAATCATGGAACTTTCATGTTACTTTCACGGGGCTGAGAACAGCATCTCCTTTCATCCAGACTGGGGGGAAAAGCCTAGCATCCTTTCCCTTCCCCACTTGAGACTTAGATAAGTATTTGAGACTAAGCAGACACTTGCACTCTGAGAATGCTACATGGATAGGCTGGCTGGGCTGGGGGCCAAATACATGAGAATTACAAAGATAAACACCACTCAAAGCAAGAGGTGTATGTAAAACTTCTGGACTCTAAGAGTAGCAGAAATGCTCTGTGGAACATGCTGTTAGCAAGTTCCACCAGGTCCAGCCCCTCATGAGAGCTCTCCCAACACTTTTGTGATGTAGATGGGTGCAGGATCCTTGCTCTCCAGCCCCGTTCCTGCTTTAGCAATTACCCTTGGTCACTGGGCCAATGAGTAGCACTTTCACCAAGATATTTTAACTGAGAATCAGACCTCCTGATTGACAGCATCCATTCTGACCTTCTGCACAGACCAGGAGAACCTCAGCCAGTGACTCCTACCTTGTGCCCCACAGTGTATGATTGAACAGCAGCAGCTCTGTACTCCAGTGCTGGCTGCTTCTGCTTTGAAGCAGTGGGGGAAGCAACCCAGTGACAAAGATGATGCTACAGCAATGCAAGTGATGTAGCAGATTTTTGCCTGCACCTCTTGAGGCCTGCATTGATATCACTTCCTCTCTTGCAGGCACAACCTATACCATGTACAAAGACTACATGCTGAAGCCGTCCACAGACAGAGCCCAGAAATAAACCAGAGGAAGCTGCATGGCCCCTTCCACTTGAGTGCGCAGAGGTGTGCCTGAGGTCGAGATGCAGTAATCTCTTGCAGAACCCAAGGCCCCTGCAGTCAAATCCTCCTTTCTGCTGTACATCTAACAACCCCTGCTTTCACTTTTCATAAAGTCACATCTAAAGGCAAAACAAGGATCACACTGAGAGTTGGTGTCAAGGAAGCTGCTGGGAGGCTGTGTTTGCTACTGGGCCATGCAGGGCTGTGAGTAGGGACTCTTGGGCTCTTTTTGCAACTCAGGGAGGGAGTGTGGTGAGGGGTTTGGGCTTGGTTTGGTTCTCACTTGTACTAGGGATGCTCTGCCTAATAGGTAGGTAAATGACCATGGCCTTCAGCAAAGTAGGAATGGGTGTGGGAGCACCATGGACAAGCGGTGCTAAATAGGGAAAAAAGAAAAGATGCTCTTGTGGTTAAAGCCCAGGCCCATGACCTAGAAGACATGCATTCAATCTCCTTCTCTTAACCAGGTCCTTCCCTCACCCTTTGTCCACGGTGCATACTCAGGATAAGGAACTGAGCTCCTGCAGAGGCACGTACACAGAGCAGCTACCCACCATTAAAACTGTCACCCAACCCCCTCCTGCACAGCAGCGGTCTCACCCTGGACATAGAGGCTTACATGCAATTGGTGTCTCCCTGTTTACCTTTATGGTACTTGGGACTGCAAGGAGAACCGATTACTGGCACCCAGGAGAAAGCTGAACTCCCGAATAACTACTTCACGTTGGTCTTTCACCAGACCAAGGGGAAAACAATGCCAGGTAGAGTACAGGATAAGCATGGTAGGAATATTCACCTTCCTACTATTGCCATGGGATTGGCATATGACCAATTAAAAAAATTAGACGTATACAACTCAGTGGAACTGGATAATCTTCATCCAAGAGTGCTGAAGGAGCTGGCCAAAGTCATTGTGGAACCCCTGGCGAAACTCTTCCACAACTCATGGTGCTCTGGAGAAGTCCCTGAGGACTGGAAGAGGGCCAGTGTTGTGCCTATCCACATGAAGGGCAGGAGGGAGGACCTGGGTAACTATTAGCCAATCAGCCTAACTTCCATCCTAGGGAAAATCCTAGAAAAGTTCAAGGACTATCTGCGATAAGCTTGCGAAAGGTAAGATTCTGAATGACAGCCAGCATGGCTTCATCATAGGCAGCTCTTGCCTTACCAACCTCATGTCCTTCTATGACCAGGTAACTCGCCACCTGGACACAAGAGAACAGGTTGACATTGTATACCTTGACTTCCAAAAAGCTTTTGATCTAGTATCCCATGATGTCATCGCAAGAAAATTGGAGGATTGTGGGCTCAGCTCCGAGACAGTCAGGTGGGTGAGAAACTGGCTGCAGGATAGGACCAAAGAGTGGGCAGCAAGAAGTGGGCAACTGTGTCCTGCAGGGGTCGGTGCTCAGTCCAGTACTTTTCAATGTCTTTATTAATTATTTGGATGTGGGGGTGAAGAGCTCCCTGGCCCAGCCTGTGGATGACACCAAGTTATGGGGAAGCTTGAAGATAGGTTACAGGCCTGTGCAAAGCGGCTAGTATTTGCTTCGGATTTGGCCGATTTGGGGGGCAGTGATTCAATTCGGTGAGTTGAATTCCTGTC